GGGAGATCTCAAAAGCCTAAATTTTTAAGGGAAAGTATGAATCAAAACTGGAATTTCCAGGGGGATAGGGCGCCCGGGTTGGGGGGGGGGGGTAGGGGGGTGTCAAACGAAAGAACCCTCCACGGGAGGGGTGTTGATATTTCTGGAATGTTTCAATTCGCCCATGGCATATCTACTTGAAAAAGCGAACAGATACACAAAAAGCATGGATTCAGTGGGATCCTCTACAAAAGGTACTGCTGGACCTTGAATTCTTCTTCTTCCTTCAAATCGATCAAAGCATCGGCAAGTTCCTGAGCCAGAAGTTTAAATGTCGGCCTGTCTTCCTCTCTGTCAGAGAAAAGAAAAATCTCCAGTCACTACAAATACATTGGACAGAGCCGCCAACCCTTTTAAGGCCTACATACTCTTAATCCCAGTGCGGGAAACTTTTCAGACTTCGCTCAAGCCAATATGTTGACGCACCTCTACAGAGATCTAATTGATTAGCCGGTTTTTTAACTTTTGAAAGTAACGACTGATTAGAGACACTACGTAAATCTCTGAAAAGCTACGTAATCAGCACAAGACCATTTAATGGGTGAAACTTTGGACTTTTTTTGTGGGGGTGGGGGCTAGCTGTTGTCTGGTTAGTATCCAGCATATGATTGAAGTACAAAAATCGAGGACTTCTCGTCCGGATGCAACCTCGTTCCCAGGCTCTCTCTTCTCTGTCTCCCTTGGTCGTTGGAAGACCCTGGTTGCGGCTGGTCACGTGACCACCTGTTGTGACACAAACTTTTCCACGGGGATGGAGTCAACGAATAATTTTTGTCGATCTCAACTGAAGCAAAAGAAAGGCAATCGCTGGTCGACATCACTATGTTAAACTACACACGGGCAAATACACCTTTAAAATTCTCCAGTCTTATTCTAAGCTTCACACAGGTCAAACGAAACATATTTACACATAAATAAACAAATAAATAAATAAATAAATAAATAAATAAATAAATAAATATACATTTATATAGCGCCATTTTCCACTGATTGTCCATGGCGCTTTACAATACTTTAAAATTAAAATCGTAAGTTAAAAATCCTAAAATTAAAATCCTAATCCTTTATAAACCTAAAATCCTAAATCCCAAAAGTTAAAATCCTAAGAATTAACTACGCTATATAATACAATTAGACTACAAATAAAAAGTAAAAACTA